TACTGTACTCATCTAGCATATTCCAAGAGGAGGACTCCAACCCTACTGACCCTTCGGACTAGATAGTTCACTTCCGCGTATGTTCCCGAATATATTTTTGGTTTGGGATCCTACAAGGGAAGAGGAGCAACAGCAGGCCCGAACTCCTGTGTGGGTAGAGGTGAGATCTTCAAGCGCCGGAAAGAGGAAGGATGGAAAGCCGAGTAAAGGAAATAAAAAATTCAAGAGGCGAACATCACAAAAACCATGCTAGGGCTGGTACAAGTGAAGAGGAGGATCCAAGCGAGATTCCGACGGAAAATACATAAGTCGTTTTACTGATGGCGGTGGCTAAGGTTCAGCCCCGCCAATCGCCATGACGATTTTGTGCTGGAATTGTCGGGGGCTTGGGAACCCTGCGACAGTTTGAGAGCTACGGAGGATCATCTCCGAAAAAGACCTGCTACTTACCTTTATCTCGGAAACTAAGCTAAGGAAAAATAAAGTGGAGTCGATACAACTTGCAACGAGGATGTTCGGTTGTTTTTTGTTGAAAGAGCAGAAGATTGTGTTGGGTTGCTTTTACTTTGGAAGAAAGGTATTAATGTTCTCTACAGAGTTTTTGGCCTTCACATTGATGCGAAGGTTCAATAGAACGAGCACAGGTTCAGATTTACTGGATTTTATGGTCGAAGTGCATGGACTTTCACATATGTTATACCTCACTCCCTTGGTGTGTGGGAGGAGATTTAATGAGATTATCCATCTTTCTGAGAAAAAAGGAGGCCGAAGACGGGTGAAGGTGCACATAGATGATTTTCGAAGGTGTCTTAGAGCTGCAGATTGTGGGATATTCGACCCAAGAGGGGGTGGTTTTCATGGGCGTGTGGTACAAGGGCACATTCTTTTGTGTAAGAGCGTATTGATCGGTTTGTGGCTAAGAATTTTGGCTACTTAAGTTCCTGGTTATTCAGTGTCTATTTTGATAGCTTCTTCAGATCACTGTGCTCTTCTACTTAGTTTAGAGAATTATTCTCCAAATCGAACACATAGGGGTGACTACTTCAAATTTGACGCTTGCTTGGCGTCTGAGGAACAGTGTAGACACATTGTTCGTGAGATTTGGGAGAACAAAAAGGAGTCATTATCTGGCAAAGTTTAGAAGGTGGGGGATCAACTTGATAAATTGCAAAGGGTTCGTAGAGGGCAAGCAAAGCGTGAGGAGACGCACTAAGAGACCAAATTCTATTACTTGATTGGCGCCTATTTCGGATGATGTCTGCGAACAACGAAGCAAGGCCTTAGCGGAGCTAAAGGATCTTAGGACAAAGATGAGACATATTGGCTGTAGAGATCAAGGGTTGCGTGGCTTAAAGACGAGGGCCGAAATTCAACCTTTTTCGATGCTAGAGTGAATGGTCGTAGGAAAAAGAATTGGGTTGAGGGGTTGGAGAGTGAGGGGGTGTGGTGTGATCAACTAGATGACATTTTGATGTAGCGAGCTACTTTACCTCTCTCTTTCGGTCATCAGGAGCTGCGCCTGATGAGGAGATCCTGCGAGTCATAGATCGTTGTGTGACGCTGGTGAATAATGAAAAGCTTTGCCGCAACTTCACTGCTGAGGAAGTCACTCAAACCTTTTCTCAGGTTAATCCTTCAAAAGCACCAGGTTATGATGGTCTTTCTGGTCATTTTTCCATTCTTTTTGGGATGTTATTGGTTGTAATTTTGTTGAACTATGTTTAAGTTTGTTGAATGGATCTTCGAACTTTGATTTTGTAAACCGAACTATAATTGTGTTAGTTCCCAAAGTAAACAGTCCAAAGTCAATGAAAAATTTTAGACCGATTAGCCTTTGTTCGATCATATATAAAGTTGTGTCCAAAACCATTATGAATCGTCTAAAGTCTTTTACATCCTTGGCATTGTTTACAGATAACAAGTATTATGGGGACGAGGTTTGAGTGGCTTTACCGTATTCTTCAGTCCTTCAACTCAGGCGATTTAGCTCACTATCAAAAGTTGTGTCATTTGCACAATACTGCAATGAGGGTACAACAAGCCTTGTATAGAATGAGAAAAAGCTCTTGGAAAAAGTCAATATTTTTGCTTAATGGAGATTATATCAGGTGTGCGTTTGCAAAGTCCGTTGATGGATCAGTTTAGACTCCAGGGTTAGTGGCTGACAACTGTATGTGTAGTTAAACACTGAACTACAATATGTTTCCTTACAGCCGCCCATCTGGGGACCAAACCGTTCCATTAAATGTTATTGCTGAGCGAATAAAACTGTCAATTGAGAATGTTGAGCACCTTTTTATGAAGAGCTTGTATGTAAGTGAACTTGTACAAGTCCAATCTTTCTATTTCCTTCTCAAACGTTCCTTTGCATCATTGGATACATTTAATTGCACCTCTGCCTACAACTTCTAGCCATTGTAGAAAGATAAAACGCCTGAAGATCACTTGTATGACCTTTACGTGAATCACTGCTACAGGTTCATCTGATTGAGGGCACAATTGATAAAGTTGAGGGAATAATTCATGTCACCTGGGTGCAACCAAGATTTTGGGAATACCACAGATCAAATAGTTACGTGAGTGGTTGGATAATTGGGTGGGCAAGTACAACCGCTTCATTATCGATTGTAACTGAAACCTGATCTTATTGCATCATGATTTTTTCCCCTCGAGTTTGTTTATTCCCATTGTAACAATTTTGTTATTCGAAAAGAAAAAGAAAAAGAAAGGAAAAATCAATCCATGGTGACAATGAGGATAGTGGGGTATTATAAGTTGATTCTCGAACTATGCTTCTGAAAGGAGCGAGTCCTCTGTAATTTCACGTTTTAGTCATTTGTTGGATGTAACAGTGGCACTGGCATGCCTAAGGATACTTGTTTTCCTATTTTTCTCTTACTTCAATGTTTTCCTAGGATGGTTCAAGGTTCAAGACGATATAATCAAACCACTAAACAGTTTTACAGAGATAAACTGCTCAACTTGTGTAACCTCACCTGTCAAACAAGAAGATTTGTTCGTGTTTGTTTGTTAAAATGATAAACGAACACAAATAAATATAAAAGAACAAATATAAAATATTATTTTTTTATAAATGAAACAAAAATTCTTTAAAAATATAAATAAATGAACATAAAATATAAATTTAATTAAACAAACAAATATAAACGATCATATTAACGAATATAAATGAAAGAACATAAACAAATAGATTATTGAACGTTCATGAATATAAATAAACGAACGAGCTATTCATTTGTGTTCATTCATTTAATTAAACAAATAAAAACATAAACGACTTGTTGAATGTTCGGTTTATTTACACCCGAAGGACAAATGAACTTGGGGACATAGATTTCCTTTTCCATTTGCTTTCTGATGAGTTCCTTGGTATGAGCTGTCACTTTAAAGCCTTGGTCAAAAGAGGTACCTGTTGGAGAGGAGCAATATTGCATCCAAATATATTTTTGGTGACATGGGTGCATCCTTATAGCTTATTCTTACTTACTCTGAAGCTAAACGACATTTTGGCAAGTTAAGACAGCACTACATCACTGTGACGTCCAGTTTTGCTAAAAGCATAGTTATCGGGAAAATCTCAAGTGCGGTAGCCTTAATATACGTTTAAGAAAAGACGTTATCGATTTTATTATTATTTTTTTAACAAAATTGATAAAATATTACCGGAAACATTATTATTTATACCGATTTTGTTATTATTAGGCGTTTTACCGATTTTGTAAACATATCCGGTAAAGCGCTACTGCTTTTGTTATTTTTTCTACCAATTTTGTTATTATTGGGCACGTTACCGGAAATGTTGAAAAACATTAATGTTTTAAGTAGAAATAATAATGTTTTAGGTAATTTTTTTACTGATTTTGTTAAAATAATAATAACAAAATTATTAACGATTTTCTTTAACCGTATATTAAGACTGTCACGCAATAAAACTTCTCATAAGTCTCCAAAATGCACGTTTACGTAATACACTATATGTTTGGCAATTTTCCCAACATGTGGTTTTTGATAGTGAACATTCCTAGGCACGGGAAAGAGACGTTGAGAAAAAATTAGAGATTTAAGTATAATATAAAATCAATTTTAACGAATAAGTATCCTTCTATATTGTATGTGTAAACGTCTGATAACAAAAATCGACTTTGGTAAAATCGTCTTCAATAACTGACGATTTTACTTTAATTTTGTTTTTATACTTTATATTAAATTAAAAAACATGAAAGTATAGAGGTTATAATAAAATTTTATAAAAAATTTATCAGTAATTTTATTAAAAGTTATGTTCACTTCTCAATATTTTATCAAAATTACTTTTTTTCCATTTACGACTTTATCAATAATTATAAGGGTAAATTATATAAAGGGTCCCTAATTATAGGATGTTATTTTGTTAATTCATCTGATTATTAAAAGTTCTAAAATGATCCCGACTATTTTTATGTTTCAACTCATCCATTTATGTTAAAAACATCGATGACAGTTTGAGTTGAACGTTAACTTTCTGACTGTAACATGATAATATATGATGCCAAAATCTCAAAAACTTATATCTCAGTCAACATGTTAACGTTCGATTCATACTGCATTCAATTTTTTAATAGAAAATAACGAGTTTGGAACATATAAATAGTAGAAACAATTTTATAACTTTTAATAATCGAAAACTTAACAAAGTAATGTCATATAGTCGGAGACCAATTTATAATTTTTAAGATGATTTAACAAAATAATATTCTATAATCGGAGATCATTTGTATATTGTACGCTAATTATAAAAATATCTTTATTTGCTTAATTAAATAAATCTTATTTTTAGATACAACTTTTTTTCTTCGACGTTCAATTCCGCCTAATTTTACCATTTTGTCGGACATTAACATATTGCACTTTTGCTTAAATTTCAGAGGCTAAATGCGACATTAATTCTTAAGCTAATTAGATTTTGCATCAAAAGACGAAAGGTTCCGAATCGAAGATCATAAATCTGACCGTCAAAATCTCCGAGCTAAAAAGAATATAAGAAAAGGAAAATCGCAAACTCAGAGTTGAAATTTAGACTTGAAAGCCAAAACCTTCTCTTTGATCAGGTATAATTTTCTTCCCCTTTTTCTTATTTGAATATTTGATGCTTTCATTAGAAATTTTGAGTATTTATTTGAATCCAAACGCAAATCTGAGCTACATCTTTTCTTCTTTTTTGTATTAGAATTAGTAGTTTATTCCATTCTCAGTTAACAAATAAAGATTTAATATTTGGGTTACCATGTGATACAAAATCAATGTTAATTTTTACTTATCCCTTAGCATATTAGTGGGTCTTTGCTCATTGTTTTACAGAGTTTACAAGATGAGATTCTCCCATCTTAATATTTCTCTCTTTAATTATTGGAAACTAATGCGCCAAATGTGCAATAAAGCTTGTTTTGTTGTTCTGCTAAATTTCTCTTACCCCCCTTTTCACTTCTTTCCTTTTCCTATCAATTACTGATATGTTTTTATGCAGCATCTACTGTGAAGGCCCGAGAGATGCAGAAATTGGGTGATTTCAAGCTTCCACACTTTTTCAATTACCCTCCATACTTCACGTATTCACCTCTCATTTTCCTTTCAGTGTTTGCTTTATTCATTTGCTACTAGCACTGTCGCTGATTTATTGTTCCTTCTAGTTTCTCATTTTAAGAAATGAAGAACAGTAATAATTTTAAATGTCCATGAAGAAGGTTGATCTTCACCTGTGAAGTATGCTGGATACTTTAGTTCAAATTTTTTATATATGTATGATATTTATGGTATTGGAGGTTACTAGAGATGAAACCTTGGCAATTGGAATTAAGAGTGAGCAGTCCCAAATCAGATGAATGTTGGCATTTCAAATTTGTGTTAAGTTGTGCCTGTATATGATTGATATACACTAACTTTATCTTGCTTACGAAGGCATTTAGCTTTCCATGCGACGGCTTTCCTCTACTCGTACAGACCCCTAACCAAATCAGAGCTTTTGACAAACGCGCATTCCTGAAACTCTGTTTTGCCTTGGGCTTTTTCGTTCACTAAATATCTTATAATAAGATTGTAGTGGATCCAAACTACGCCTGGCTTGCACGCTTTCCTTTCCTCCACCTGGGTTCTAGATTCATTCAAGTGAATGAGATCAGGTTGAGGGTTATGTTTACCTCATACGTTTTATCTACGGTAACCTCTTTCTTTCTTGAACAAACAGATCAACCCCGACACCTGGCTTTATCAAACCAGGTCCGTAGGAGCCTGGAACAACCAGATCTTTTACCTCCGCCTGGTGTTAGAAAACCATATTTGATCCCTGGTATAGTGTGTGTGTGTGTGTGTATAGTTAGTATTTGAGGTTATCAGAGATTGAAACTTGTTTACTAGAACTAAGAATGAGCACTCTAACAAATCAGACGAATGTTGGTATTTCAAATTTGTATTAGTTTGTATATGTATGTATATATAATATTTCTTCCGTTATCAACACCTATTTGAATCTTTTTTCGTTTTATTTCACCTTGATTGTTAATGAGCACTTTAAGAATTGGGGTTGATTTTTATGCAGTTTGCAGCCGGTGAAGGAGACTCGTGAGAAACAGATACAACTTTGGAAGGAACTGATTCTGGATTACTGCAGGACTCAGAAGATATTTGTAATTAAGCTTGAGGAAGAATTTCCTCTCTTCTCAAATTCTGTGATAGAACGTAAGAACTGTTTTGCTTAAATTCTGGTTAAGCAATCTGATTAGAGCTATCAAACTGTAATGGTGCATTTGTCTGTGGCCATTGTGCTTATAAAACAATTCTACTTTGTTTTCTTGAGTAGTATATACATAAGAAGATACTTTCTTCTGGCCTTGGTGCAGGCACTCTCAGCCACGAAGCCAGGGAAGCATTCCTCTCGGCCTTGGTTGCAGAAGGTCTTCGCTGGTTCTACCGGTTGACTACTCCAATTGTATACTTCAGCATTCTTAATTCATTGGAAGCTCTTAAATTTTTGTTCTTTTGCAACAGGACGCTCAGAATGGTTGGATAAAGGACGTAGGAGTTGCCTTATCCTTTGGCACCGAATTCAAGATTGGGCTGACATTATTGTGAATTTTGTGAGTTATCCTTGGTTCTTTCACTATTCAGGTCATAAATTCTTAGTTTTACATGGCATCTTCCAAACCTTATTTTATGATATTATTTCTGTATGTTATAAGGTGAAAGATAATGGCTTTGAGGACAGTGTTATGACTGTTGAGGAAATACGATCAGGGATTGAATCACGAGGGACAGGTAAAATATACACTTCTTTAGATTAAGCAGGTTATTGAATCCTGCTGCTTGATAGTTATTGGAGATGGTTCATTTTCCTTCTTTTCTCTTGCCTGTCCATAGTTTTAATAGAGGGTCTGGCTTGTGGATTATGCTGGTTTGGAGTGCTATATATAATATCTATAAACTGCATATCCCCATGTAAAAGAACGAAAATGAAATCGGTGACTGCTGTATAGAAGTTATACCTATCCTAATAGATTGTAATAGGATTTCCATGGGGAACTATGTATTGGACTGCAGTTATGTATATACACTTTCAATTTCTCACAAGTTCCTGTAGGTCTGAGGCAAGGTCCCTTAACTTCTTGTTAGCGTTTCATATTGAAAGAATCTATGCTATTCAAATTAAGTATCAACTTATTGACATATGAGTTATGGTTCTTATCCAATGACAGGGAATGAATTTAAAGAATCTATGTCATTCATATTCAGCAAAACTTTTTTCTTTTTTAATCTTTGGTTTGTAAGTCTTCCTCACCACAGTAGAACTTCTCCATCCGGAAAAGGAAACAAGAGCATATATCATAATCCATATTCATCTATGCGCACATTTAATCATGTAAACGAACTTGACTTAGAGAAATTTCCTTTTCCTGCAGAGCTTCATGGGATAGACCGAACGATTCTAATGCGGGCTTTGAAATTACTGGAACAGAAGGGGAAGCTTGCAATTTTTAAGGGAACTTCAACTGATGATGAAGGCATAAAATTCTCTGTATAATGATTCATTCAATTGGCGTTCAGGGGCAAGGCAACCTATTGCCTATTGATCATAAGAACATTAATCAGGAACCCTGCAGCCTGTTGGTAACTGATATTTGTTGAAATATGTTGAAAACCAAGCCTGTTGGAATATTACACATCCTTGGTCCTGGACAGGAGCATTTGATCTGAACTAAATATTTACTTCTCTTTTACAGTAAAAACCAGTTAATAGCGGGAAATGGAAGGGGTTATTTCTTGCAATCAGTCTCTCTTTAATGCCTAAAATAATAAAAATTCACAAAAAGTTGGTAAATCAGTATCTATAGCATTTGCAAATAAACATGGAGGATGCAATTGCAAATTGCCAAGCCCCAAAAACAGACAACCGAAACCTGTACTGATCCCAGCTGTACCTGTATCAAGAGATATTGAGATGAATTTACATTTTCATATAATTTAGATATTTTCTCTGTGTTTGTATTGATAATTTATTTTTCTTCTCTAAAATTTTATAATTTCATCTTCCGTTCATCTTAACATAATTTTTTTTCGTTCGTCTCTTTCCTGTCACGTACCTCCTTTGTCCTTTCTTCCACAAAATATTGCCAAAAAGCCTCCATCTTTCTCCCTCTCTTTTCATAGTTTTATTTCATAGATTTTGCTAGCTTGCCTCTGCTCCAAAGGTTTTATTTTCAACTCTAACCTTATCTTAAGAACTATTGATGAGCACAAGAGGATATTTGTTTAAGTAAATATCATTCTCCACCAGTCTTCTATATTTCCTTCCAATGTCCATGCTTAATAATGTTTTCCACTGTGTGCTCTTTTGTTCCTCCACTTTCTGGGCATATTGATTGATTTCATTCTATGTACTACAAACCATGATGTGTCTTTTAAGTGCTGGATAATATGGAAATTCTCTCATTAATATGAGTTCTACTGGAGATTAAACATCTTCTCATGTTTTCCCTTATATATGTGAATATTGTAAAATTTTATGATTTTTGAAGTTTCATTTGTTAAATTTTATGGATTATTTGTTAAAAATATGAATGCAGAAGCTTCGTTCGCTACAATTGTTCCTTGTGGGAAAATTAACTAAAGATTTTGTTGATCAAACTGCCTTCATGGATTATTTTCAATCCTATTGGGTGCCTAAGAATTGTTGTTTCTCTTTCACTATTACTCATGCACAAATCAGGACAGAGTTAAGATTAAAGATCGGGAGGGACCAATTTGTTTTGTTTCCCTACTACGGATTTAAACCTAAAAGTTAGAGGGGACAAAATCTAAACATTGATGGATCTTTGGAAGAAACCAATGGATGACTCGATTGTATTAGATGAGCCAGTTGCCTTGGCCAACCAGATGTTCGATCAAATCAAATAACTTGTTGAACTGAATAGTTCAGATGATATTGCCGTTGTGGTCAATAATATACCAAAAGAGGTTAAGTACGTAATTGCTAATTGCATCATTAAAAAAAATAGGTACCCAAACAAAAAAGTGTTGGTTCAAGTAATAAACAGTTTGATATCGCTTAAGGTCTCGAGTTCGAATCCTTGTGTATGCAAAAAATTCTTATTGAATCTGGTTTAATCAAAACGAAGCCTTAAAACTGGGAGGAGAACCAAAAAACTAGGTACCCAATTGAAAAAAGAGAAACCACATTGTACTTCCGTGCCAAAAGTTAAATACTTCATGGTTATCATGAAACTCGTTTTTGTTATAGGTAGTGAAAGATAAAAGGGTTTTTAAAACTGACCTTTTTTCTGTTTATATACATAACCATATATGGAGGTGGTGAACAGGGGGAAAATAAAATCAAATGCCATTTACGCAAGCAAGCACTTGAAACATTACATTACCATATTTATTTGAACTGAACTCAAGGCATTTTTCCAAGACAATCAATGGAACGTCATGATAGCCCCACAATGAATCCCTAGAATCAATTGGATATGTAAATCAGAAACATTTGCATCAAAGAACCGTTCTTCAGCGAAATATAGAGGTTATGGTTTGGGTATGTGGACTGTTGGGTTATCATTTACAGGTACTTGAGCATACCACGACCCTCAACACTAAGTTTAGTCGCCTGCAGCTGCTTCTTTTTTGGGGCTTTCAACTGCTGCAACTTCTTATTCATCTGGCCATGAAAGAAAAGTTAAAACATTAGCATTTCAGAAAATGTAGAGAACAGATTAAAGGGCGTTAGGGTCTAGGAATGGTTGTTGCATCTCATTCAATCTGTACCACTATGAACTCGAATTAAGGAGGCATTAAGAGGGTATTATGTTAGGCGTTCTGACTACTAAAGGAACAATATAAGATAAACATCCCCCCTTTGGTTTTGTTAACCAACCTTATCCAAATAATAAAACTAACTCAATTTAATACTAGAGAGAGAAGACAAAACCTTTAAACGACGCTGATCTTGTGCAACTTATTTTGCACGAGCCCTAATTTCATCTGGATCAATCTTAGACTGGGGACGCACAACAAAATCCATTGGTGTTGCATCTGGTCATGAAGCATGTTGCCTTGAAGAAGATTCAGACCTGGAAGCATTTTGACCTGATGATGATCGACCAGACTTGTAGTCCCTGTATTTTATAACCAACAATCGTCAATAGCATAAATTAAAAAAAAAATAGTCAATAACATATATGACCAGAATAACAATGTTATAAACCAAATGTTTGGTCACACATTTGGTCACACATCATACCGAGAAATATCCAAATCAAAATCACCATCTCTAGAGTCCATTGATATCTATTTGCAGGCCTACAAAGGAATTTTTGAAAATCAGTAAGAAACTACAACATGAAAACACACGCACATTGTAAGCAAACATGAAATCGTACTTTGCATAAAAGTAACTAAAGGGGTACCTCTTCACTGGTGGCCTTCACATTGGAACCCTATCATCATCAACATTTCTCATGTCTTTAAACCTAGTGCTCTTATTAAAGATTGGCCTACTCTGCATTATGTTCAAAATTATTAATAAAAGGGACTTAATAGAATTAGACAAAAAAAAGACCATTGATATCTGGAAAAAAGACTTTTAAGACATCGTGAAATATTAATTTAACAAACAAAATTGGATTAAAATAAGCTTATGTAGCATTTGGGAAATTGGATTTCAGAATTTGAATTTCAAACATAGTGACAATTGCGTAATAAAATACTTGAGAATGAAACATTCATGATTATTTCTCAAATTCATGGATTTGTTCGATGCCTATTTAGTAGTGATTTTGAGATTCCTAATATACATTTGGATTTGATAAATGCATGTTTTGATGCTTTTCAACTATATTTTCAATTGAATCTTAACTTTATATCCATAACATATGTACTTTTTTTATTATCATTCACATAGTCAATAAAATCCAAATTCTGAAATCCAAGTTTCCAAACGGAGCATTAAGTTTTCACTGAAATCACAAGCACTAAAAATTCAGAAATCAAAACTATACACCTAAGGCCACGTACTTATCAGTGAAAAAGATAAAACATAAAGGTCACAAGGAATGGTCATTGCTGATATAGATCCAAAGATGATAAGAATGAAGCAGGGGACAACTTTAGAATATAAGCAGCTGGAGTTTAAACCGGAACATTACCCATTTATCAACCAAATCCTTAGCAAGTTTCCTGTTGGAAGTGGTTTCCTCATCAGATTTTGATAAGAACATGATGACCTGCGTTGAAAGAATCAAAACCGAAAGATGTTTCAAAATACAAAGCTGAACAGGATTGTTGTTGTAAGGAAGTTTCTTACTTTTCCAAGACCATTTCTCTTTAGCTGCTCCCTTCTATCATGCTGTTCTAGATCAATTGGAAACTGCATGAAAGACAACATTTCAGTATCCATGCCAAATAAACATCAGGGGATTGGCAATTATTATAGAAAGATGCCAATTTATACGTCAGTTAAAATCTGCAAAATAGCGGCACGGATATTTATATTTGGTAAGCTGCCATCAGGAAGGGGTTCAAGCCAATTTTTCAACAAGGTTAAAACTCCATGATCTAGGAATTCTGGTTGAAGCTGCTTCCTGCATAAAGAGAAATTTAAAAATACGAGAATGGTCATTTCTTGATAAATTCAAGCAAAGGTTTTAAACTTGGGAAGCAGCTTACTTTGAGAGAACCTCAGTGAGAAGTGGTAACTTCTTGAGTTTATTAATTGCAGGCTTCCCTTGTCTATTAAGCTCTGCATCTTCTTCAGCAGTTACCTCAAGCTCAGCCATGACACTGTCAACTAGCAATGCAATTTCTGCAGGACTTATCTCATTCTTCTTCCGTTTTTTACCCACCTTAAAAAACTCCTTAATCTCTGGATCCTCATCATCTTCTTCTACCCAAAAGATCATTAAAGTAAACCAAAAATCTATAAAAATAACTTCATATCACATTTGAGCTACCAATAAATTTGAATTTCAAAGTACATAAACCTAAAAATATCATAGCACAACCAGTTTCCTATAACTCTTTATCAACATGAAGACAAACATGCATGAAAGCCATATAAAGATGATTGACAACCTGAGGGGCAGCACCAGGCGACCTTGCTTCATTGTCACTCCCGTATCTATCTGCAGGGTCAACACCATTCTTGATCATTCATAGTCCTATGACCCTCTTGATCATTCTATTCCAGAGAAGAGACAGATGAACAAAAAAAATCTTGGTTAGCCTTTGACCTAGTTTCATTAATTTTAATGAAGAAATTTGATAAATCAACAAGCTTTTGACCTAGTTTCATTAATTTTAATGAAGAAATTTGATAAATCAACAAGCTTATCTTAGCAGGCCACTTCATACATAAATCAAATAGAAATATAGAGGAGATAAACAGATTCATCAATTAGTTAGCGGATCAATTACAGGATAAAATTGGCTTATTTGATAAAAAAAATGACAATGATAAGTCCGGAAGCCAGTATTTTCAAAAATGATTCATAAACTAGTAAACCGTAACTTCCTTTAATCCATGAACTGAATGGATTAAAAACCACCCATTTTAGCATGCTCGCACAA